CTCCCTGCATATAACTGCCAGCCGCCACTCCCTCCCCTCCCTGCCCTTCCAGCCTGGAGCTGCCCATCGGCTTTGCTGCCACTGAGCTCCCTCCATATGGTTTCCTTAAGCAGAGCCTCTCCTCCTCTCCTCTGCTAGTGAGGCCCTGCTTAACCTGCAGCAAGCCCCGCCCCACCCCGCCCCGCCCCACCCCACCCCACCCCGCCCCACCGCACCCCACCCGACCCCATCCCACCCCATCCTACCCCGCCCCACCTTTCTACCCAATTTCCTGCTGTTCTATTTCACGCTGTTTTCTTTATACTTTGGACTAATTGTGGCTGTTGGGATTTTGGCTTGATTGCTAAAATACTTTCCCTGTACTTCCTGATGATAACAATCCTGCCCACTTCCTCTGCCAGATACTGCACCTACTGGGCAGGATTTGTGCCTCCCTGACAACCCCCTACTCAGAGCTCCCAGCAGGGGCAGGGGCAGGGGCAGGAAGTTCGCTAGGTTGAGATTTTGGAATTGGTTTTTCTTGCAGACAAAGACCTGCGGACCAAGGGCTTCAGCCTGGAGTCAGTGCCGCAGCATGGTGAACCTCATGGACGTATCCTTGTGTTTGCTTTTGTCTCCTGAGTGGGGTTTTGGGTGGAGGAATCAGTGCTGGGAGAACTGTCCCAGGACAGCGCAGAGAATGGGACGGAGCCATGTGGAGTGTGGACACACAGTGCCCCGTGTTTCCCTGGACGTCTTCCTGTTGGTTGGGAGGGAGAAACTGAGGCACAGGCCTGTGTCACGTGACAGGTGGAGCAAGACCTGGGTCCCCACTGACGCTAAGGCTGGTGCTGTTTCTGACCCCTCCCCTGCCCACTCCACTGCACCCCAGCCCAGAGAATGAGGCAAGCCCGGCTGTGGGCTGACTGCACATGGTCTAAGTGGCGGAATTTCCTTCTTAACGGCCACCCAGCGTGATGGCAACGGGAAGCTGGGCCTGGTGGAGTTCAACATCCTGTGGAACCGCATCCGGAATTACCTGGTAGGTTGTCCCCACTCCGCTGTTTCGGCAGGCGCGGGCCGGGCAGGCAGGAAGGGCCCGATGACTGGGCCTGGCCCTCACCCTCTGCACCCCACCCCAGTCCATCTTCCGGAAGTTTGACCTGGACAAATCAGGCAGCATGAGCGCCTACGAGATGCGGATGGCCATCGAGTCGGCAGGTGAGACCCCAAGGCCGATGGCACGTGGGGGGCCCGGGACAGGTAGCCCCACTGCTCCTGCCCCAGGGCCTTGTCCCTGGTGGTGACATGGTAACAGCCATCTTTTCCTTTTCCCTGCGGTGACTGAGCTCAGTGCATGACTGGATTTCCTTCCTTTTTTCCTGTCCGAAGCCTCACGGGGCGAGGGTCTTTCACCAGCCCCATTGTGCACGTGAAAATAGAGAGACTGAGAAGGAAAGTGACTGACCTCAGGCCTCACAGCCAGAAGGGGGCAGAGCCAGGCTGCAGCACCTCCAGTGAGGGAGGTGCAGGGCTCACCCCGCCAGCCGGCTTAAGCACAAGGCCAGAAGATTCAGGACAAACTAAGCCGGACCCCTGAGGCCTCACTGGCCAGCTCTTGATTCCCTGGCATGACCCAGGCCCTGAGACTGGCACTCACTTGCCCAGCCCCTCACAGCTACTGGCCCTGCCCAGGAGACCTTCATGCCCCTTCCCCTGGAGAAGAAAAGGCCCTAAGCACCCTGCCTAGCCCCAGCCCCCTCCTGGGTACCCAACCCCTCCCCCATCCTGTTGGGCAGGGGCTATGCCTCCCTGACCTTCACTCACTCTCCCGGACCAGGCTTCAAGCTCAACAAGAAGCTTTACGAGCTCATCATCACCCGCTACTCAGAGCCCGACCTGGCGGTTGACTTTGACAACTTCGTGTGCTGCCTGGTGCGGCTGGAGACCATGTTCCGTGAGTGTCCCCGGCCGCCTCCCACCCTCCAGCTCCATCCCAAACACGTCTGCCAGGAGCTGGTGGGAACGACAGATGGCCGAATTAGCCAGAGACAGGCCAGTGCAGTGGGCGTGTGCCAGAGGTGCCTAGGTCTGGGGTTGAGGGGCCCTGGTTGGGGGCCAGGAGAGTGGGGGAGGTGACGATGTTGACTGGGCTTCTCAGCAGGAGGAAGAGCTGCTTCCCAGCTTCACGGGGTGTCAGCTTGGGGTATTGTGGGGAGGTAGAGAGGGACCAGGCAGGAAGCGGGGCAGGCCTGGCCCTGCATGAACGTCCCACTGAGTTCTCAGCCCTGCATCACCTTTTCTTCAACACACAGGATTTTTCAAAACTCTGGACACAGATCTGGATGGAGTTGTGACCTTTGACTTGTTTAAGGTGAGAATCTCCCTGGGCCCATGGCGGGGGAAGAGTTCCAGGTGATCGAATTTTTTTTTTTTTTTTTTTTTTGAGACGGAGTTTCGCTCTTGTTACCCAGGCTGGAATGCAATGGCGCGATCTCGGCTCACCGCAACCTCCGCCTCCTGGGCTCAGGCAATTCTCCTGCCTCAGCCTCCTGAGTAGCTGGGATTACAGGCACGCGCCACCACGCCCAGCTAATTTTTTGTATTTTTAGTAGAGACGGGGTTTCACCATGTTGACCAGGATGGTCTCGATCTCTCGACCTCGTGATCCACCCGCCTCGGCCTCCCAAAGTGCTGGGATTACAGGCGTGAGCCACCGCGCCCAGCCTCCTGATCGAGTTTTTTTAATCTGACCACTGTTCTGCTGTCCTTTCCTGGAAGTGAGCCTGGGCCTCAGAGCCAGCCCCAAAGGCTGGGCCACCTGAGTCCCGAAAGGCTGGGGTGGAGGTGCCTGGTTCTGGGAAGGCAGCGGGAGGGGAGGCCCAGGCCCTTGGAGGCGTCTGTGGGAGCAGCGGTCTGGTTTCCTGGGGGTGGAGGAGGGAAGAAAGTAGCCCCTCCATGAGGTCCCTGAGGCGACTCCTGAGCCGTGGAGCAGGGGTTGGGCCTGGGGTTTGGGTGGGGAGGGAGCCAAGCAGCTGCTCCGGCTGCCCCTGGCCGACCTGCCTGCTCTCCCGCAGTGGTTGCAGCTGACCATGTTTGCATGAGGCAGGGGCTCGGGCCCCTTCGCCGTGCTCCTGTCCCTCCTCATCTGCCAAGCCACGCCTCCTGCCACGCCCCACCAGGCCACGCCAGCTGCAAGTGCCTTCCTTGGAGCAGAGAGGCAGCCTCGCCCTCCTGTCCCCTCTCCTCTCAGCCGCTGTCGTTCATCTGCTCTGGCAGAGCTGGGTGGCCCCTGCCTGCACCCGCTATGGCCTCGGGATGGACTCGGGCCCTCCATTGCCAAGCCGGGAAGGCAGCTTTCGCTTGTTCCTGTCTCGGAACAGCCCCAGGTTTTCTCTGCATCCTGATGTGTCCCCATCCTCACTCAGCGCCACTGACCTTGCCTCGCCTGCAGACTATAAACTATAACCACTAGCTCCACAGTCTGCAGGCCAGGCGTGAGGAGCCGCCTCCCGGCTGGGCGAGGCCCCAGGGCTGGGAACGCCTGTGCCTTCCTGCGCAGAAGCCAACGCCCCCTCTGCCCCTCTCTGGCCCTGCTGCCAACCAGGGGCTGTCCAGCCTGCGGGCGGTCGGCCTTCCCTCCTTTGCTCCTTTTTTATATTGGTGATTTTAAAGGGGACTCTTCAGAGTCTAGTGTACTGGTTTTGGGGGTGCCAGAGGCACTAGGCTTGGGATGGGAGGTCCCGTGTTCCATACAGCGGAACCCCAGATAATAAAGGAAAAGGCCCCACATCTGTCTGTGAAGTGTTTCTCCCCCACCTGCTCCCTGGAAGACACCTCCAGACCCCAGCCCATGGGGCAGCTCATGGCCCCAGCCCACCCTTCCCCTCCAACCCCTCCATCTCCTTCCTCTTGACCCTGGAGGCTTGAACCCCTGCTGGAGTACTGAGGATCTGGGTGAGTACTAGGGCCCAACCTCCCAGGCCAGCTCTGGCTGTAGGGACAGGGCCACACAGCTGAGGTCCCACGTGGCCCTGCTGATCCTACACGCCCTCCCCAACCCAGGAGGCCTGACCCCTACCTTTCCTGCACACCTGCCCAGTGAGGTGAGACTCTGAATGAAACCCAAACCTCGACTTAGCACACACCCAACCCCCCAGGGAGCTCCCCAGAGCACAGAGCCTCCTTCAGGTCCTTCTGGGGGGAGCCCCTGTGACCCAGACACCTGCACTTACATAAGCCCTCCAGGCCTCTCTGGGATCCGGGATTTTCTTACCAGAGATAAGAGTGGTTTGGGGGAATGAAAGGGGGGTGGGGCAAAGCTGAAATGCAGAGCAGAGGCTGAGGTGGCGGAGGGTGGGTGGGCTGCTGTCCGCTGCTGTGGGCCCCTAGCATTGGGCCAGATGGAGGTGGAGGCCCCTGGGCGCCCCATGGGGCAGGCTGCTGTCTTAAGCCAGCATTTCGCCCTTGTTACCTCCTCGCTGGGGGTCCAGGTCCTGTTGGGCCCAGCGTCTTCAGCAGTGAGGGCAGTGGCTCAGCTCTTCCTGGAGCCTGGGCTGGTGTGTGAGGGGCTGGGGGGCAGGGAGGGTGTGCAGGGCCCGGCCATCTTGCTCAAACCCTTGCTCTGTGGATTGGGTTTTACTTGATGAGGGGATGGGAACGCCATGGTCTGGATGACCTGGGGCCCTAACCTCTCAAAAACTCAGAGTCCCTGACGTGGGGGTGGGCAGGGTGGGGCTTGCTCCTGACTGCCCGATTTGGGGCATTTTGTTTCTATTTATTTATTATTTATTTTTGAGTTGGAGTTTCCCTCTTGTCACCCAGGCGGGAGTGCTGTGGTGCAGTCTCGGCTCACTGCAACCTCTGCCTCCCAAGTAGCTGGGATTACAGATGCCTGCCGCCGCACCTGGCTAACTTTTATATTTTTAGTAGAGACGGTTTCATCATGTTGGCCAGGCTGGTTTCGAACTCCTGACCTCAGGTGATCCACTCACCACAGCCTCCCAAAGTGCTGGGATTATAGGCATGGCATGAGCCACCGCGCCCAGCCTATCTGGGCATTTTAAAAGGGCTTTTTCCCAAGTGTCACATGTGCAGCCAAGTCCCTGCCTTCTCGGGACGTGGGGAAGGGTAAGCAGCTGTAATCACTGCACCACATTATTCTGAACCCTCGGCACTAAAGTTTCCAGCTGCAATTTGGAGCCTAGTGACCCTAGGGACTGTGTGCCATGTGCCAAGGCTGGAATGGGGCTCCCAAACATGCCTTGGTGTCCTCTGGAGGACAGAGAAGGTGACGGTGCTGGGGTCCTGCTGGTAAGGGCAGCGGGCAGGGCGGCTGGGCCTGCAGATCTGGGTGATGGCCTGTGACTTGGCCCTCTGGGTGAGAGATGGAGAGACCTGGAGAAAGGGCATGGCGGAGGGGAGCCCTGCAGATGTGGGGACACCCGAACCCTCCTATGGGGTGTAACCCGAGCCCTCGGACACAGGGTGCACAGGATGTCTGCAGTCCTCACCCCTGACCTGTCCCTCCCCCTCCCAGCGCCCCTCCCTGGCCTCTTTGCATAAAGCCTGGCAGGCTGGGCCTCAGGTCAGGCCCATGGTCATGGCCTTCACAGACCTGCTGGACGCCCTGGGCGGTGTGGGCCGCTTCCAGCTCCTCCACACGGCGCTGCTGCTGCTACCCTGCAGCCTGCTGGCCTGCCACAACTTCCTGCAGAACTTCACGGCCGCTGTGCCCCCCCACCACTGCCGGGGCCCCGCCAACCACACTGAGGCCACCAACGACTCGGGGAACTGGCTGAGGGCCACGGTACCCCTGGACCAGCTTGGGGCCCCGGAGCCATGCCGGCGCTTCACGAAACCTCAGTGGGCCCTGCTGAGCCCCAACTCCTCTCTCCCGGGAGCAGCCACAGAGGGCTGCAAGGACGGCTGGGTCTATAACCGCAGTGTTTTGCCGTCCACCATCGTGATGGAGGTCAGAGGGGGCTGGGAGCAGGGGGCGCGGCTGCTGAGGCCCAGTCTGAAGCTCCTCTGTCTTCCCTGCAGTGGGATCTGGTGTGTGAGGCCCGCACTCTCCGAGACCTGGCTCAGTCATGGCCGGGGTGCTGGTGGGGGCTGCGGTGTTTGGCAGCCTGGCAGACAGGTGAGCCTGTGGGGATGAGGGCCCCAGCCACCCACTGCAGGGAGGAAAGCCCAGGCCTCTGCATTCATTTTTCTTTGTGAAAGTTGATTCGTGCATTTTAAACAGATAATACATATAGTACATTCACGTGGTTCCAGATCCCAAAAGGCACAGAAGAGCCCGCCGGGTGCATCTCTTTCCTGCCTCTGCCCCTCCCTGCAGTAATTCCCAGAGGGCAGCCTGGCTTCTATGTCTCTTACTGGAGACATGATTCTATGCAGTCAAGAAAGTGGGTGAATATGCTCCATCCCTGCATTTTTCTATTCCTGTTTTGTATTCTTTTCTTCTTTATATCCGCCCATTTTTTTGCTTTGAGATGAGGTCTCAGTATGTTGCCCAGGTTGGTCTCACACTTCTAGGCTCAAGCAGTTCTCCCTCTGTCTCCCAAGTAGCTGGGGTTACAGGCCTGGCTGTCCTTTTTTACGCAAATGCTGGCATCCACCGCGCAGCGTCCCGCACCCAGCTTTTTCCTTCACTTTGGAGCCTCTCTTATTCACAAAGAGCGGTCCCAGCCCTCCTAGTGTTCACACTGCATCCCACTGTATGAATGAGCCAGAAAGAACCCTAACTTGCTCCCCCTTATTTTTTTAGAGACGGGAGTCTCGCTCTGTCACCCAGGCTGGAGTGCAGTGGTACGAACATAGCTCACTGCAGCTTCAGCTTTCTGGGCTCCAACGATCCTCCCGCTTCAGCCTCCCAAGTAGCTGGGACTACGGGCACGCACCACCGCACCCAGCTAATTTAAAAATATTTTTTTTTTTAGTAGAGATGGGAACTCACTATGTTGCCCAGGCTTTTCTCAAACTCCTGGGTTCAAGCAATCCTCCTGCCTCTGCCTCCTAAAGTGCTGGGATTACAGGTGTGAACACTGCGCCCGGCCTAAGTGACCCCTATTGATGGATGGCGACGTGCGGCCAGCTCATGGCTCTGAAGTTGGTTCCCATGCCTCCCTCTCTGCTCCTCTTTCCCCTTCCTCCTCTTTGTTCTCTCCCCTTTCCCTTCTCCTCTGCCCTTCTCTCAGTTTGGGTTTGGAGGGGCCCTCCTGGACTCTACCCCACACTCTGGAGTGTAGATGGCTCTCTGTGCCACACGCCTCAGGCCCTCATCACACTGTGTCATGACACATCTGGTCTTTCTGCGTGTGAGCTTGTGTCTTATCCAGAGCGTCTCATTTGTCATCAGCCCTCAACTCAGGCCTGTCACTTATAGGTGATTAATAATCAAGGAACACTGTGTCACAATGAATGAGTAAATGAAAGAATGCATAAGTGAATGAGTGAGTGAATGAATGAATGGGTCATGGGGTGTGTGGAGAAGAAAAGCTGCCCCCTTCCTTGGCCTGCTGCCCTCCTGGCCAAGCTGAGGCTGTGCGCTCTGGCCCTGGACCCTCATTGCAAATAGGGTGGTACCAAGGCCGGAATGGGATAACCCTGCCACCCTGGCCTTCGGCCCCTCTATGGCATGGCAACTCTCTACTCCACATAAAGACTCAACCCTGGCTTCTGCTCCCACACCAGGACAGGCCAAGGGCTCACCTGCTGTGAGTTCTGGTCTGAGGCCTCCCTCCAGCCAGAACAGTGCTCAGGTGACCTCTCCCTACCTGCCATACTCATCTAGGGGCTTTGCAGAATCCCTGCCTTTCCTCAAGCCTGAATGAATCTCTTCACCAGCTTTTTTACACTATGCCCCTCCCTCTGTGACCCACAAAGCCCGGGTCCCAGCAGTTTCAAGTTTCTGTTTTGGAGGGGTGGCTTTCACAGGGCACCCCATCTTCCCCTTGACTGCCTTGATAGCCCCCTGCTCAGGTGGAAGGGGCAGGCACGGGCTACCAATTTGCTCCTTGGCAGATGCTGCTGCTCCTCCAAAAACCCTAACGCCTATGCTCACTCTCTGGGCTCAGGCTGGGCCGCAAGGTGCCCCTGGTCTGGTCCTACCTGCAGCTGGCAGCTTCGGGGGCCGCCACAGCGTACTTCAGCTCCTTCAGTGCCTACTGCGTCTTCCGGTTCCTGATGGGCATGACCTTTTCTGGCATCATCCTCAACTCCCTTTCCCTGGGTGAGTCCAGCTGGGGAGAGGCTGGGAGAGGCTGGGACTCCTGAAAGAGAGGGGGCAGGGGAGGGGCAGTGTCCAGGGTCATGGACATTTTTCTCATGTTGTTTTCTTGGGATTCTCATCCAGCAACCTCAACTCAAAGCCTCCCAGCAGAGTTCTGGACTTGGGGCACCGGGGCTCCAGGTAGTGGCCCTGCTGTGGGTGGGGAGTCCTGCACAGCCTTTCCCATGTCCAGGCTTCAGGGTATTCATCTGTAAACTGAGAGGGTTAGGTTTATTTTATTTGCGAATTAGCCAACATTAACCACTTACTAAGCACCTATTGTCTGCCAGGCTTAGTGTGGGGACACAGAGGCCACCGGCACACAGGAGGGGAGTGAGCCATCATGATCCCCAGGGCCGCAGTCAGCCCTGAAATTGTGTGACTCTAGGAAGGCTGGTGATTCCTCAGCTTCATGGTGGACACCTGGCTCCTGGATGCCAGCCTGGAGTGTTGTGCCCCCAAGCGATAAGTGACAGGCTCAGTCCTCCCTCTAGGCTGGTTCTGAGCAGCCCCTGGGTGGTCCTAGGAGAAAGCATTGCAGGACAGTACAAAGCCCACTTGGATACAGACCTGCCACCTACCTGTACTTCACTTTAACTACTTAACTTGCTCCTGGGGACACCACCGGCCACGGAAACTGCTGCCACCGTCAGCTGTCCAAAGATAGGATGGATCTTTTATATCAGGGGTCAGGGAGAAATCTTGGACCTGGAGAACCAGGATGCACCAGGCCAGCCTACCTGACCTCCCTCCCTCTCCCAGCACACAGAGGGATCTCAGCCAATCCCAGACTACACAGCTCACTCTGAGGGTGGGCATCTAGCCATGGCTTGAGACAGATATCCAAGGTCCACCTCATGCTGGAATGGGCTCTAACACCTATACACACACACACACACACCCATCAGAGACTGCCCAGCCTCTTAACACCTCCTGAGGCTGGAGAGGCCAGGCACTCTGTCTTGGGACAGCTCAGCCTATAAAGATGACTTTGTAGAGATTCCATCTAGTGCCCTGGAGCTCCCACTGTGGGCCATGCCCTGCCTTGGGTTACACCGCACACATGTAGTGACCCTCCCCCACATATATATGTGCCTCCCCTCCCTTTTGTTCCTGTACGCACTGTTCTGTACTTGATTCTTTCACTTAACCAAGTTTCACTGCTTCACTGCCTGATAGAGGGCCTCTAGCGGCAGGAGAGGCTCTATATATTTTGGTGAACACAGCAAAGCCCTGCTCCTGGGAGCCCATGTTCTAGCGAGGGGAGATATCACCACCACACATCACAAATCCCATAGGATGTTTGAAGACAGTAAGGGCTACAGAGCAAAACCGAAGCCTGGGAAGGGGGTAAGAATGGCTGGACGCCGCATCTCATGCCTGTAATCCCAGCACTTTGGGAGGCCGGAGCAGGCAGATCACCTGAGATCAAGAGTTCGAGACCAGCCTGGCCAACATGGTGAAACCCCGTGTCTACTACAAATCAACAAACTAGCTGGGTGTGGTGGCAGGCGCCTGTAATCTCAGATACTCAGGAGGCTGAGGCAGGAGAATCGCTTGAACCTGGGAGGCGGAGGTTGCAGTGAGCCAAGATCACACCACTGCACTCCAGCCTGGGTGACAGAATGAGTGAGACTGTCTCAAGAAAGCAAAACAACAACAAAAACAAAAAGAATGGCCGGGCTGGAGGGGAGGGGTCTGCAATTTTAATTAGTGCGGTTTGGAAAAGCCGGCACTGAAAAGGGGTCACTTTGAGCAAAACTGCAAGGACTTGAGGGAGTGAGCCCTGCAGGTTTCTGGGGTGGAACATTCCAGGCAGAGGGAACTGCCAGGCAGAGGCCCTGCAGGGGAAAGTGTGCCCAGGGTGAAGAGCAAGGAGGGCCCTGCGGCTGAAGCGGAGTTGGGAGGCGGGTGACAGATGAGGTCGGAGAGGGCAGGTTCCTCAGGACCCTGTGGCCAGCGTTCTAGGACTGTGGCTTTGCCTCTGAATGAGACAAGAGACACTGGAGAATTTTGACCAGGGAGAGACCCGATCTGATTTAGGATTTGAGATCTGAGTAGATCTCTCTGGCTGCCATGTGACACCGGGACAGAAGCAGGGAGGCTGGTTAAGGGGCTACTGCTGACATCGAGCAAGAGACCAGGCTGAACCTGGCTACGGTGGCAGCAGCAGAGGGAGTGAGCTCAGATTCTGGCTAAATTCAGAAGGGTTTGCTGAAGGACTGGACGCACAGGCTTCCTGCCCATTGGGAGGAAGTGTCCTCCTTAATGTGTTAGGGCTGCCTCGTAAGGGTGTGTCATCACTTAACCAGTCCCCTATGATGGACATCCACGTTGTTCCAGGTTTTGCTATTTACAACAATTAGCAAAAAATTGCACCTTTGCCCATTTTCCTTTTAGCTTGTTGGCTGTTTTCCTATTGATTTGTGAAAACTCTTTCAGTATTAGGGAAGTTAGTCTTTTTCTCTTTTTTTCTTCTCCCTTTTTTTTTTTTTGAGACAGAATCTAGCTCTGTCACCCAGGCCGGAGTGTAGTGGTGCCATTTCAGCTCACTGCAACCTTCACCTCTCGGGTTCAAGGGATTCTTGTGCCTCAGCCACCCAAGTAGCTGGGATTACAGGCTCACGCTACCATGCCTGGCTAATTTTTGTATTTTTAGCAGAGATGGGGTTTCACCATGTTGGTCAGGCTGGTCTCGAACTCCTGAGCTCAGGTGATCCACCCTCCTCAGTCTCCTAAAGTGCTGACATTATAGGTGTGAGCTACCTCACCCAGACTGAAATTAGTCCTTTATCTGTTAGTTAGGTTACAACTATGTTTTTACTTTTTTTGTTGACGTTATGCCTTGGCTTATGGTGTTTTGCTTGTTTTATTCCAGTGCAGATATTTTTTATTTTTACAATTCCAAGTTTGTCAATCTTCCCTTTTTTTTTTTTTTTTTTTTTTTTTTTTGAGACGGAGTTTCGCTCTTGTTACCCAGGCTGGAGTGCAATGGCGTGATCTCGGATCACCGCAACCTCCGCCTCCTGGGTTCAGGCAATTCTCCTGCCTCAGCCTCCTGAGTAGCTGGGACTACAGGCACGTACCACCATGCCCAGCTAATTTTTGTATTTTAGTAGAGACGGGGTTTCACTATGTTGACCAGGATGGCTTCAATCTCTTGACCTCGTGATCCACCCGCCTCGGCCTCCCAAAGTACTGGGATTACAGGTGTGAGCCACCGCGCCCGGCTTCAATCTTTCCTTTTATTGCTCCTGGGTTTTGTGACATTCTTGGTAAAGCCTTTCCCTGCCCTAATTGTAAAATAATCTAGATTATTGTAAAATAATCTATCGTGACTTCTGGCATTCTTGTAGTTTTATTGTTTATTGAGTTCTTTGATCCACTTAGAATCTACCTAGAGTGCAGTAAGGACACCTTTACCTGCATCTCAGCGGGTCTCTGGAATAAGTTTAAGTTGTCAGAATAATGATAAGGTGGGTGTGGCGAATCAAACAACCACGTGGGTAGCCAAACCCTACTGCATGTGCCTGTTTTCTCCTCAGTTGTGGAGTGGATGCCCACCCGGGGCCGGACTGTGGCGGGCATCTTGCTGGGGTACTCCTTCACCTTGGGCCAGCTCATTCTGGCTGGGGTCGCGTACCTGATTCGCCCCTGGCGGTGCCTGCAGTTTGCTGTCTCGGCTCCTTTCCTGATCTTTTTCCTCTATTCTTGGTATGTCCTGAACAGAGTGGGGTGGCCCTATGAGAGGTTGGGGTGTGCAGTGACCAGGGCTTGCTGGACCTAACGAGGGACACAAAGGATGGCAGGTGTCCATGGAGGCTGCAACCTCTCCAGTCCTCATGAATGGCACTGGGATGCTCTGGTAACATCCCTTGCATTTGTGTGGGCTCTGAACATCCCAAGGGCTTTGCCTTCATCAACTCCTTTGCATCCTTCAACACTTTGTAAGTACTTCGAGTACTTATAAAGTTGTAAGAATAGAACTGGGGCATTTATAAGAGGGTAATGAGGCACAGCCCAGAGAGAGCTCATGACTTGCTCAAGGCCACACAGCTAGGGTCAGAACCAGATTCAAAACCAGGTCTGGGACAGGTAGGGTGGCTCACGCCTATAATCCCAGCACTTTGGGAGGCCAAGATGGGCAGATCCCTTGAGGTCAGGAGTTCCAGACCAGCCTGGCCAATATGGTGAAACCCTGTCTCTACTAAAAATACAAAAAAAAAAAAAAATTAACCAGGGTAGTGATGGGCGCCTGTAATCCCAGCTACTTGGGAGGCCGAGGCAGGAGAATTGCTTGAACTCGGGGGTGGAAGGTGCAGTGAGCTGAGATTGTGCCACAGTGCACCAGCCTGGGTGACAGAGCAAGACACAGTATCAAAAACCAACCAACCAACCCATGGGTCTGTTGAAGTCCTAAGTCCTCTGTAATCTTTTTTTTTTTTTAATGGGGTCTCCCTCTGTTACCCAGGCTGGAGTGAGGTGGCACAATGACACAATCTCAGCTCACTGCAACCTCCACCTCCCAGGTTCAAGAAATTCTCTTGTCTCAGCCTCCTGAGTAGCTGGGATTATAGGCACACAGCACCATGCCTGGCTAGTTTGTTGTTGTTGTTGTTGTTGTTGTTTTTGTCTTTTTAGTAGAGATGGGGTTTCACTATGTTGGCCAGGCTGGTCTTGAACTCCTGACCTCAGGTGATTTACCCGCCTCAGCATCCCAAAGTACTGAGATTACAGGCATGGGCCACCACACCTGGCCAAGTCCTCTGCAGTGTTTAAATACTGTCCAGTGAGTCTTCATATGATGTGCTGCAGAAAAAGGGAAGCTGGCCAGCCCCCAGACTTCCTGATGCTGCATACAGGAGCGGGGACAGTTCACCTTTTTTGGGGTCTGAGAGAAGGTGGACAAGGGGGTATTGGGCTTGGGGAACAGAATGAGCCCTACCCAGCCCCAGATTCTTCTTCTTCCTCCTCTCGATCCCAGGTGGCTTCCAGAGTCATCCCGCTGGCTCCTCCTGAACGGCAAGTCCAAGTTAGCTGTCCAGAACCTGCGGAAGGTGGCTGCAATGAACGGGAGGAAGGAGGAAGGGGAAAGGCTGACCAAGGAGGTAAGCGGGCTTTGAGGAAGGAAAGGCAGGAACAGTCTCCAGCCTGTTACACTAGGATGAAGCAACTTCCCAGGGCTCATGTGCCATCCAGGCGTAGACGCTGGGAATAAACAGGACAGGCAGAGTTCCGTGTGTGAAATATGTTGTTTAGGTGTGGCATGATTGTGTGATTTGGGGTAAATAATTTAACTGCTTTGCTCACCAGTCTATCCATCTTTGCAATGAGGAAATAACCTCATTACCCTTGACAGCCAGTTGAAATTTTAATAAACTAAAATTACTAAAATGGCAACCACAAAGTAAAATTTTCGGGGAATCAATAACAAAATTACCATTATAAATATCATTTATTATAAGATAGTTACCATTTATTATCAATAAGCACCGTTTCTCAAGCCCCACACTGGTACTAGGCTAAGAGTTTTATGTACATAATCTCATTTCATGTCTCGTTTTTGCCAACGAGGAAACTGAAGTGTGGACAGGTCCGGTAACTTGCCTGGAAACACACAGTAGGATGTGGCAGAACCTCTTAGAACCCCTGCTCTTATCTGACCCAATCTCCAAGCCTATACCAGGAATGGGGTGGGGGGCCCTCCAGAACCGCAGAATTTCAGGAGTGTTGGGGCTCATGTTGGAGCTTCTCAACACTCTGGAAACAGCCCCTCAAGTGCCATCAGTCCTTGGATGTAAGGGAGACTAGGGCCAGCCACCTCACCAAAGACCTCAATCCCAGCTCTCCTCCACACAGATGAAGGGGTTCCCAGCAGGGATATGGGGTCCCAGCTCCCTTACTTCCCTTAAGCAGACTCTCCTTGCCCAGGTGGTGAGCTCCTATATCCAGAGAGAGTTTGCGAGTGTCCGCACCTCCAACTCAATCTTGGACCTCTTCCGAACCCCGGTCATCCGCAAAGTCACGTGCTGTCTCATGGTGATCTGGTAGGTGATGGGCTCATGCCCAAATCTTTCACCCGAGGCAGGGGCATGCTCTCTGCTCCCACTGAAAAACTGAACTGAAATACTCTTAATGCAATGAGCAGGTGAGCCTTGTGAACGCGATCTCTTCCCACACCCCTTTTCCAGCACTCGCCCTCTGCTGGATGCTGAGATGTGGTGACAGATGAGACAACGTAATGACCAAGGAACCCCACTCTGAGCAGTGGGTCTCACCTGGGTGGGAGGACTATTGGAATCACCAAGGCAGCTTTTCCAGAATGTACCTTGTCCCATCCTGATATGCCCTTGGAGCTGGCTTCCAGTGGATTCTGGGAAGTGTCCCACTCTGGAAAAAACACTTCTGGCTCCAGAAGGGGATAGACAGAAAAATTGTAATTTCCAGACAGTGAGACAAGCACCCTGACAGCATTTCTGCTAGTTGGGGCTGCTGAGGGCTTCAAGTAAGAGATAGCATTTAAACTGGTTTTAAAAGATGGTTAATCAAGGTTGCAAAGGTGGGCAGGAAGGAATTCCTAACAGGTTCACAGACAGGAAGACGTGAAATGGGCAAAAATGCAAAGGCAGCCCACGTGCAACAGCACCACCAACTGGAAGCTGACACATCCTAAGGGGAGGGGCTGATAAAAAGCAACCGTGTTGATTTCATTCTACTGGATTTCCTGCACATTTAAATAATTGTTATTGATACTTATGAAGCAGGGAGTGCAGGCAATGAATTACTAATCGTTTTCTTTTTCTTTCTTTCTTTTTCTTTTTTTTCTCCATTACCTGAAGCATCTGAATCTCATCTCTCTCTCTCTCTCTTTTTTTTTTTTTTTTTTTTTTTTTTTTAATGGAGTCTCACTCTGTCACCAGGCTGAAGTGCAGTGGCACCATCTTGGCTCACTGCAACCTCTGCCTCCTGGGTTCAAGCTATTCTCCTGCCTCAGCCCCCTGAGTAGCTAGGACTCCAGGCGGGTGCCGCCACACCCAGCTAATTTTTGTATTTTTAGTAGAGACAGTGTACTATCTGTTTTCTGTAGCAGACTGGGCAGTCCCTTTTAGTAGGTATCAGCTGGACTCTGAGGTCAGACTACCCATGTGACCTGAGCAAGTTAAGGAGCCCAGCCTCCCGAGGTCTCTCCTATGTCTGTAAGGTCCTTGTGAGGATCCAGAGTTAAGACATGAGGCCAGCCCCGGTGACTCATGTGTGTAATCCCTATGGGAAGCAGAGGCAGAGGATGGTTCGAGCCCAGGAGTTCCAGACCAGCCTGAGCAACATAGGGAGACCCCCTACCAGCCAGGCATGGCCACCTGTGGTTCCAGCTACTTGGGACGCTGAGGTGTGAGGATCGCTTGAGCTTAGGAGTTTGAGGCTGCTCTGTGATCGCACCACTGCACTCCAGCCTGGGTGACAGAGGCAGACCCCGTCTCAAAAAAATGAAACAAAGTTAAGACACATAAAGCACTTGTTGGCAGGTTGCCCCCGGGGAAGCTCTGGGGTCAAGAGTCTTTCCTCCGGTTTGGATTTGGAGCTGTGACCCCTGTGTACTGGGAAGATGGAAAGGCCCCGACTCTGGGGGCTGTGAGGTCTTCTGCCCTGACCGCGTGGTCGGCAGCGCAGTTCTGGCTCTGGCGGGCGGGAGAGCTCCCGTCTCCCTGCGGTAGCCCCGCCGGCCTAGGCTTCCCTTCGTCCACCTTCCTCTTTCTGCGAGGGAGAAACAGATCCTGAGTTCAGAATTCCAGAGCTGAAAGTCCTCTCTTGGATCATTCTGGAAAAATAAACCAAAGGCCCGTTTTTGTTGAGAAAGTGACTCGGCCGCCATCCGGAGCTCCCTGCCTGCAGGTGGGGCGGTTCTCCCGTGGAGCCGACCCGCCCTGACCCGCTCAAAGCTCCCCCGGGCACCGCAGGTTCGGCTCGCGCACGCCGGGACTTACCAATCGCGCCGGGAAAATCGGGGCAGTTTCCAAATGTTTCGCTTCGCTGACATCTGGGAGCCGCGCCAAGCTCGCGCCTGGGATCAATTACACAGTCCTGGCTTTGGGGAGTGGGAGGCGGCGAGCGTGCCCACCTCCCAACCCCTTCCTTGCCAGTGTGTCTGAGATGAGGTGGGGATGGGGAGTCCTGGGGTTCGAAAAAGGATGGGGGAGGAGGAAGAGGAAGTGTTAGGAACTGGTGAACTTTCACAAACTTCCACTGAACCCTATTGAAAATGCCTTCAATTAACTGGGATTTTTTTATTTACTGGTTGATTGATTTGGTTGGGACAAGGTCTTTCCCTGGCACCCAGGCTGGAGTGCAGTGGCACGATCATAGCTCACTGCAGCCTGACCTCCCAGGCTCAAACGATCCTTCCACCCCAGCCTCTGTAGCAGCTAGGACTACAGGTGCCTGCCACCAACCCCAGGCTACTTTTTTTTTTTTTTTTTTTTTTTTTTTTTTTTTGAGACGGAGTTTCACTCTTGTTACCCAGCTGGAGTGCAAAGGCGCGATCTCGGCTCACCGCAACCTCCGCCTCCTGGGTTCAGGCAATTCTCCTGCCTCAGCCTCCTGAGTAGCTGGGATTACAGGCACGCACCATCATGCCCAGCTAATGTTTTGTATTTTTAGTAGAGACGGGGTTTCACCATGTTGACCAGGATGGTCTCGATCTCTTGACCTTATGATCCACCCGCCTCGGCCTCCCAAAGTGCTGGGATTACAGGCTTGAGCCACCGTGCCCGGCCAACTCACGCTATTTTTTGAAAATAGAGATGGGGTGGGGTCTTGCAATGTCCCCGAGGTTGGTCTAGAACTCCTGGACTGAAGCAGTTCTTCGCTTCAAAGCAGGACTTTGGAACTTGGGTTTGAATCTCAGCTCTGCCACTTACTGGCTTTGTGATCCTGGGCAAGTTACTTAACCTCTCTGTGCCTGAGCTTCCCCATCTGTAACATGGGCATCATAACAGTACCTACCACATCAGGTTGTTGTGAAAAGTAGGCTGTAAAGCAGGTAGAACAGTACCTGAATGCGCGTTGTTTTCTGTTAATTAGATACACGAGTGAATGCTCCTCTCAACCTATTCTTCCTCCCATCTCTGAACTTCTCCCATCTCCCATCTCTGTCAGGCGTGAGTTTGTATTCTGGCAGATCTTAGGACATACACGACACCCTAATACTTACACATAAACACATACATATTCTTATAGAAATGGATTTAATAGGGACTGGGCGTGGTGGCTCATGCCTGTAATCCCAGCAGTTTGGGAGGCTGAGGTGGGAGGATCACCTGAGTCAGGAGTTCGAGACCAGCCTGTCCAACATGGTGAAACCCTGTCTTTACTGAAAATGTAAAACTTATTCAGGTGTGGTGGCATGTGCCTGTAATCCCAGCTACTCAGGAGGCTGAGGCAGAAGGACCACTTGAACCCAGGAAGCAGAGGTTGTAGTGAGCAGAGATTGCACCATGTACTCCAGCCTGGGCAAAAACAGTGAGACTCCATCTCAAAAAATATATATATACACACACATCAATATATATTTTTTTCTGGATAAAATTTTTTTTCTGGATATTGGTTTTCACAAACATATATATATATATATATATATATATATATATATTTTTTTTTTTTTTTTTTTCTTTTTTTTTTGAGACAGAGTTTCACTGTTACCCAGGCTGGAGTGCAATGGCGCGATCTCGGCTCACCGCAACCTCCGTCTCCTGGATTCAGGCAATTCTCCTGCCTCAGCCTCCTGAGTAGCTGGGATTACAGGTGCGTGCCACCATGCCCAGCTAATTTTTTGTATTTTTGGTAGAGACGGGGTTTCACCATGTTGACCAGGATGGTCTCGAACTCTTGACCTCGTGATCCACCCGCCTCGGCCTCCCAAAGTGCTGGGATTACAGGCGTGGGCCACCGCGCCCAGCTCACAAATATATTCTACTGTTAGCTTACCTTCATAAAATGTTGGAATAAATGTGTATTTATTCTTCTATAAATGTATAATCATAGAAAAGTGGCAAAATTAGTACAGAGAGTTCCTGTATCCACTTCACCCAGTTCCCCTCATAAAATCATCTTAAATTACCATAAGTACATTTGTCAAAAGTAATAATTTAAGGTTGGTAATTTACTATTAACTAAACTAGAGATTTATTTGAATTTTACCAGTTAGTATATCCCATTACATTTAGTCATATCACATGTCTTCTTGGTCTCCTTGGATCTGGGACAGTTTCTTAGTCTTTCTTTATTTTTCATGACCTTTACAGTTTTGAAAAGTATTGGTCAGGTATTTTGCAGAATGTCACTCAATTTGGATTTTTTTTTTTTTAAGCCCAGGCTGGAGTGCAATGGCCTGATCTTAGCTAACTGTAACCTCTGTTTCCCGGGTTCAAGTGATTCTCCCACCTCAGCCCCCTAAGTAGCTGAGATTACAGACATGTGCCACCATGCCCCACTAATTTTGTATTTTTAGTAGAGACAGGGTTTCACCATGTTGGTCAGGCTGGTTTTGAACTCCTGACCTCAAGAGATCCATCAGCCTCAGCCTCCCAAAGTTCTGGGTTTACAGATGTGAGCCACTGCACCCGGCCTCAATTGGGATTTGTCTGATGGTTTTCTCATTATTAGACTGGGATTGTGGATTTGGGAAAGGGCAACCGTGGAGGTGATATGACCTTCTCATCATATCATATCATAAGCAGGCATATGTGATGTCAGCATGGCTGACTCTGGTGATGTTAAAGTTGATCCCTCGGTGAAGGTAGCGTCTACCAGGTTTCTCCACTGTAAAGTTAATTATGTTTTCTTCCCATATTTTTGTTTTTACTTTTAAATTTTAATCTGTTTATTTATTTTGAGACAGGTTATGACACTGGCTAATTTTTGTACTTTTGGTAGAAATGGGTTTGCATCATGTTGCCAAGGTTGGTCTTGAACTCCTGGGCTGAAATGATCCACTCATCTCAGCCTCTCAAAGTGCTGGGATTACAGGTGCAAGCCACCGTGCGCAGCCTCTTTCCATATTCTATTATTATTATTATTTGAGATGGAGTCTTTCTCTGTCACCAGGTTGGAGTGCAGTGGTGTGATCTCGGCTCACTGCAACCTACACCTCCCAGATTCAAGCAATTCCCCTACCGAGTAGCTGGGACTACAGGTGCGTCCCACCACACCCGGCTGCCTTTTGTATTTTAGTAGAGACTGGGTTTTACCATGTTGGCCAGGATGGTCTCAATCTCCTGATTTTATGATCTGCCCGCCTCGCCTCCCAAAGTGCTGGGATTACAGGCGTGAGCCACTGCACCCGGCCATGTTCTGTTATTTTTTATTTATTTATTTATTTTTTGAGACGGAGTTTCGCTCTTGTTACCCAGGCTGGAGTGCAATGGCGCGATCTCGGCTCACCACAACCTCCGCCTCCTGGGTTCAGGCAATTCTCCTGCCTCAGCCTCCTGAGTAGCTGGGATTACAGGCACACGCCACCATGCCCAGCTAATTTTTTGTATTTTTAGTAGAGATGGGGTTTCACCATGTTGACCAGGTTGGTCTCGATCTCTTGACCTCATGATCCACCCGCGCTGGCCTCCCAAAGTGCTGGGATTACAGGCTTGAGCCACCGCGCCCGGCCTCTGTTATTTTAAAGTGGGTCCAGTCTGCACTCAAGGAGAGGGAAATTAAGCTTCATCTCCTGAAGGAGTGGAGTATTGACACATATTGTTTGTGTAGGGCACATTGGGAGCCAGATGTAAGGCTGAGTGCTCCACAGGGTCGTGGGGTGAGCCTTATGCTGTGCTGAGGCGCAGGATCCGAGAAATAAAGAGACAGAACACAGAAGTATAAAGAAAACGCAGCAGGGCTCTGGGGGCCACGCCACCTATAAGCAGAGTCAGGCGAGGCCCCGAATGTCCAGAAGCATGAGTATTTATTGTGTATAGGTTAGCGGGCAGGGCAGTGAGTGAAATCATCTTTAAGAATAGTGATAGTGTCATGAGCAATAAAACATAGGGTTCACCCCCATTAGGTCACCTAGGCCAGGAGGTGGACAGTGCATAGCAAGGGGCCCATTCCCATGAAGGCAAGGGCCGTGTGCAGTAAGGGGTCCACCCCCATTAGGTCTCCAAGGCTTGAAGGTGGGCTGTGCGCAGTGAAGAGGGTGCAGTGTGCAATACTTCTATCTATGGGAAAACTACTTCTAAGATTTATAGGAGGATGCTTTAAGTCACATAGCAGTGACAGAGCTGTCAAAGTTACCTCCACCTTCTGGCAGCTTCCAATGGGTTCTATGGGAAGATGCTTTTCAAGCAACACAGTAGCAAGAGCTGATAAAGTTCACAGTCACCAAGGTGGATTGCCGGTCTAAGGGCAGCCTTCCACAAGAACTGGAGCAAGGTCCTACAACTCCTTTATCAGGAGGAGTGGCTCTCGCCCCAAGCCTGCCATACAGCGGGTATCTTTACCATACTGAACGCTGCCGCCTGGGCCATGGATTCTTGTCCTGGTATAACTGTTTTCCCTTAAATCATACTCTGCACTGTGTCTGCTCTAGGCATTCCTCCGATTATAAGCTGCTTATCCCTTAATTCATGCTCTGTACTGTGTCCACTCTAGGCATTTCTCCGATTATGAACTAAGATATAATTATAGGCATATATGTAGGGAAATATTCTTTAGGCACTCATACTATCAACTTTTATATGATTATATAGAGAGGATTATGTAAAGGGAGGCTTCAAGCCCTATTTCTATAAACTAATATACGATTATGTAAAGGATATATAAAAGGAAATAGCTGAGTAGTAACACTATAAAGTGAGAGATTCCTCAAGCCCCGACTGTGCCAGGGTTCTGCTTAGCTCTCATTCCTTGGTGCCTCTAAGGGGGGTTACCCGCAGTTTGGAGTTCTTCTTTCGGAAAGATTTATTTATAAAATCATTTATTTCTCGAGACTCACGTATACTCATGTAGCTTATATTTTGGGTTATAATTCAATGACGTTTTTCCTTTATTTAGTAGATACGACATCTTGACCTTATTTCCCAAATTGCTCCAGCTTTGGCCATTGGGAGTCTTCTGCTTTGGCTCTGGTGTCCTTTGGCCTTCTTCCATCTTCTTCTTTTTTTATTTTTTAGCATTGTCTTAATTTCGGCACTGAGGTGGACTGCAGAGAAAAGCAAACACCCTCCAGAGTCCACACACTGGACCCAGGATTGGGTGGTGGAAAGGGATTCGGAGGGAGGGGTCTGAGCTCTAACGCCAAAGCCAGAGACTTAGGAGACCTGGAAGGGGTGATTATGGAAAGTCAGGGAATTTTACCTTGCCAAGGAGAGGAGTCGTCTGTCATCCACCCTTGTGTCCCCTCCCCTGGGGTCAGAACAGTGACTCACAGGGTGAACAAGGACCGTTCCACTGCTTCTCCCAGGTTCTCCAACTCCATGGCTTACTACGGCCTGGCCATGGACCTGCAGAAGTTTGGGCTCAGCCTATACCTGGTGCAGGCCCTGTTTGCAATCATCGACATCCCGGCCATGCTGGTGGCCACCGCCACCATGATTTACGTGGGCCGCCGGGCCACAGTAGCCGCCTTCCTCATCCTAGCTGGGCTCATGGTGATCGCCAACATGTTTGTGCCGGAAGGTGAGCCACCCACTTCTGCTCTGGCTGCCCACTAAGAACTGCGAGCCTCTGAGGTCTGGTAGACAACAAATTTCACATGGCAACGAGGCCTAGGGGTATTTCTCTGGATCTGAAAAGAAAGCAACTGTTAGGCCGGGCGCGGTGCCTCACGCCTGTTATCTCAGCATTTTGGGAGGCTAAGTCGGGTGGATCACATAAGGTCAGGAGTTCAAGACCAGCCCGGCCAACATGGTGAACCCCAGTCTCAACTAAAAATACAAAGAAATTAGCCAGGCATGGTAGCACACACCTGTAATCCCAGCTACTCAGGAGGCTGAGGCAGTAGAATCACTTGAACCTGGGAGACGGAGGTTGCAGTGAGCCAAGATCGTGCCACTGCACTCCAACCTAGGTGACAGAGTAAGACTCTGTCTCAAAAAAACAAAAACAAGCCAGGCACGGTGGCTCACGTGTGTAATCCCAGCACTTTGGGAGGCTGAGGTGGACGAATCACAAAGTCAGGAGTTCAAGATCAGCCTGCTCAACATGGTGAAACCCCATCTCTACTAAAAATACAAAAATATTAGCTGGGCATGGTGGTGGGTACCTGTAATCCCAGCTACTCGGGAGGCTGAGGCAGGAGAATTGCTTGAACCCGGGAGGCAGAGGTTGCAGTGAGCTGAGATTGAGCCTCTGCACTCCAGCCTGAGTGACAGTTCAAGACTCCATCTCAAAAAAAAAAAAAAAAAAAAAAAGAAAGCGACTGTTGATTACTAGAGTTTGTATTAAGTACTTAGTGCCCAGTGGCAGTTAGTGGTGGAGGCCTTGATTCTTGGCTCTCAGAGCTTCTACCTCGTGGTCAGGGAGGTTAGACAGGGGCATCTAAGAAGCTGGAGAGCACAGGGCTGGCTCAGTGTGGCCGGCGGAGTGTGTGGCTCCCCAGAATCTGAGCAGGAAACATGTCCAAGGATTGAGAAGTTAGAGTTCGAACTTCAGCTGGACTGGCCCTGGAATAGTGGTTTCCAAACCTGATTAGAATGACCCTTACCTGGAGCGCCTTGAAGACTCCCTGTGCCCAGATGCTCCTGGTCAGTGCACTGTGAATCTCAAGGAGTGGAACTCAACCCTCAGTATTTTACAAACTGTCCAGCAAGACGCCAGGGTTGAACAGCAGCAACATAGAGCATGTGCTCAACCTTGTGCCCCTGGTGCCTGCAGCCTCGGCCTTGGACAGGCCATCCAGCTTCTCTGTGCTTCGGTTCTTCACCTGAAAATGGATGAATGTTATTATTGGTATCTTGGCCTATTTTCTTCCTTTTTTCGTACTTATAGATTTGAATTTAGCATAGTTGAGATCATATTTTGTTTATTCATATAAAAATGTAAATCAGATTATATATGTATATGTGTGCATGTGTACATATATATAATATGCCCTTATTTCAGCACGTATATGTTGAAACATACACATGCTTTTCTATGTTAGCACAAATGTTTGTTTCACGGACCTGTTTTTTTTGTTGTTGTTGTTTGTTTTGTTTTTTGGAGAAGTCTCACTCTGTTCCCCAGGCTGGAGTGCTGTGGTGCTCACTGCAACCTCTGCCTCCCAGGTTCAAGTGATTCTCCCGCCTTAGCCTTCGAGTAGCTGGGATTAGAGGTGTGTGCCACCATGCCTGGCTAATTTTTGTATTTTTAGTAGAGATGTGGTTTCACCATGTTGGTCAGGCTGGTCTCAAACTCCTGACTTCAAGTGATCTGCCCACCTTGGCCTCCCAAAGTGCTGAGAGTACAGGCGTGAGCCCCTGCGCTCGGCCTCATGGACCCGCTCTTTTATTATTATATAATAGTTTCCTTCCTTCCTTCCTGCCTGCCTGCCTGCCTGCCTTCTCTTCTCCCTCCACCCCGCCCTGTCCCGCCTTGCCCTGCCCCACTTAGCCTCTCTTCTTTTCTGAGACAGAGTCTCACTTTGTGGCCCAGGCTGGAGTGCAGTGGCACAATCGTGACTCACGACCTCCTAAGCTCAAGCAATCCTCCCACCTTAGCCTCCGGCTGGGACTACAGGTGCATTTCACCACATCTGGCTAATTCTTTGTATTTTTGTGTAGAGACAGGGTTTTGCCATGTTGCCTAGACTGGTCTCAAACTCCTGGGCTCAAGCAATCTGCCTGCCTTGGTCTCCCAATGTGCTGGGGTTATAGACGTGAGCCACTGAACCCAGCCTAGATAATATTTCATCTAGATTGATGTTTCTCAACTCTGGCTTCATCATACAATCTCCTGGGGACCTTTAAAAAATACCCAAATTTGAGCCTATCCCCAATAGGTCTTGCTAGAGTGGATATTGAGTAAGACCCAGGTGTGAGTGTTTCATAAAATCTCCCCACCTGATTCCAGTTTGCAGCCATGGCCGCCACCCAGCTGGAGAAGGCACCATCATTTTCTTGACCACTGTCCTAATGTTGGATGTTTGAATAGGGGTTTTGCTATTTATAAACAACAGCAGAAGAAGCATATTAAAAATGAGGGCAGGCCGGGCGCGGCGGCTCAAGCCTGTAATCCCAGCACTTTGGGAGGCCGAGGCAGGTGGATCACGAGGTCGAGAGATCGAGACCAACCTGGTCAACATGGTGAAACCCCGTCTCTACTAAAAATACAAAAAAAATTAGCTGGGCACGGTGGTGCGTGCCTATAATCCCAGCTACTCAGGAGGCTGAGGCAGGAGAATTGCCTGAACCCAGGAGGTGGAGGGTTGCGGTGAGCCGAGATCGCGCCATTGCACTCCAGCCTGGGTAACAAGAGCGAAACTCCGTCTCAAAAAAAAAAAAAAAAAAAAAAAAAAAATGAGGGCAATGGACCAGGCATGGTAGCGCATGCCTGTAATCCCAGTACTTTGGGAAGCCGAGGCAGGGGGATCACCTGAGGTCAGGGGTTCGAGACCAGCCTGGCCAAATCCTGTCTCTACTAAAAATCCAAAAATCAGCCGGTCGTGGTGGTGCGCACCTGTAATCCCAGCTACTCAGGAGGCTGAGACAGGAGAATCACTTGAACCTGGGAGGTGGAGATTGCAGTGAGCCGGGATCATGACACTACACTCCAGCCTGGGCTACAGAGTGAGACTCTGTCTCAAAAAAAGAAAAGAAAAGAAAGAGAAAGAAAATGAGGACAATGGCAAACATTTAACGAGCACTTAGCACCCACGGCATCAGCTTACGACAACCCCATAAAGCAGGTACTATTTTCCTCATTTTACAGAAGAGGACACAGCAGTGCAGAGGCGATAAGAAACAGTGACCAAGGTCAGCCGGCGGGGTGAGAGCTGCGATTTGAATCCAGGCCTGCCCTTTTTTTTTTTTTTTTTTTGAGACGGAGTCTCACTCTGTCTCCCAGACTGGAGTGCAGTGGCGTGATATCGGCTCACCGCAACCTCCGCCTCCTGGGTTCAAGCGATTCTCCTGCCTCAGCCTCCTAAGTAGCTGGGATTACAGGCACGTGCCACCATGCTTGCTAATTTTTTGTATTTTTAGTAGAGAGTTTCACTGCGTTAGCCAGGATGTTCTCGATCTCCTGGCCTCATGATTCACCCACCTCAGCCTCCCAAAGTGCTGGGATTACAGACATGAGCCACCGTGCCTGGCCGAACCCAGGCCTGACTCTAAAGCACCTACCTACCCAGCAGGACTTGGTGACAGATGCAAATAAGGGAGCAAGGAGGAGAAGTCAGAGAAGGGCAGTCAGGGGACTTCTGGATCTCAGGGAACAGTTGGGAAGGGGAGGTAGTGAAAATCCTGGTTCTCCTCTGGGTTCTGCCTCTTTCCCCGGTCTCATCCCCTCCTGAGCCTCCACCGTCTCCACTGCACCCTGGGCCTCCCCCTCCTCCCCTCCCACCTCAGCTCCACCCTGCTCCCCTGTCTAGGCCTGCAGAATCTGCGCACGGCTCAGGCAGCGCTGGGCAAAGGCTGCCTGGCCAGCTCCTTCATCTGCGTGTACCTGTTTACGGGCGAGCTGTACCCCACGGAGATCAGGTGGGTGCATGGGGAGAGATACTGCAGGGTGAGACCTCCTGGGCTCACCGAGGCAGGACCCCTGGTCCCTCCTGCCCTGCCCCCTGACACTCAGGGCGTGGCCCTCCCAGGCCCTGGGGGGTGCAGGTCGCTGCACTGACCCATCCACACACCTCTCACACACAGGCAGATGGGGATGGGCTTCGCCTCGGCCCATGCTCGCCTCGGGGGCCTGGCAGCGCCCCTGGTTACCACACTTGGAGAGTTCAGTGCCATCCTGCCACCCATGTGCTTCGGAGCCACTGCAATCCTGGCCGGGCTGGCTGTCTGCTTCCTGACCGAGACCCGCAACGCGCCCCTGATGGAGACCATCACGGCGATGGAGAGGAGGTGAGGGGCCTCTAGTGCCAACAGGCCGAGAGTTCCAGGAAATAACTGGGGGGCAAGTGGGGTGTTCTCCCCACTCCGGCGCACCTGAAACGTTCTGGCTGGACACACCAGAGTTGTGAGATGCCTCCGCACCTCCATCTACACTGGCTTAGCTTTCCACAAGAACAGACCCGATCATGAAGGTAAAAAAGAATAAACCGTGAGCCAGGAAACTCGTGGGTTGGAAGTGAGGCCTGGCAGAGAAGTGGGGAGAGGAGATCCGGGGAAACTGAAGCAAAGACAGGCCCCTGTGGTTGCCGTGCAGGCTTCAGATTTGGTTCTGGGCTTCCTCGAAAGTGACACTTTCCTTAGCATTTAGCACTAGGAGAGGTTTCTCTTCTCTTCTTGGCCTCTTGTTTTTTTTTTTTTTTTTTTTGAGACGGAGTTTCGCTCTTGTTACCCAGGCTGGAGTGCGATGGCGCGATCTCGGCTCACCGCAACCTCCGCCTCCTGGGTTCAGGCAATTCTCCTGCCTCAGCCTCCTGAGTAGCTGGGATTACAGGCACGCGCCACCATGCCCAGCTTATTTTTTGCATTTTTAGTAGAGACGGGGTTTCACCATGTTGACCAGGATGGTCTCGATCTCTCGACCTCGTGATCCACCCACCTCGGCCTCCCAAAGTGCTGGGATTACAGGCTTGAGCCACCGCGCCCGGCCGGCCTCTTCTTTTTTAAAGATCACCTTGGCTTCAAATGTGGGTTTCATTAGAAAGTTTGCTAAGGTGACAGCAACGCCCCGACAGTGTTTCTAAAACAAATGCAAGAGGGCATTAGATCTGGCTGCTTCTTGCCGCATTTCTCAGCAACAGTGGGCTCAGGGAAGACCCTTAGTTTCGGGGAATGGTGACAGGGACAGTAGCAGGGCCCATCTGTCACCCTTTCTGAAGGTCAGCTTGATCCCAAAGGTGGACCCATCTGTACCCAGTGGCCTGTACGGGTGCTGTTTGCAACCCTGAAATAACCCTCATAGGCTGGGCGCAGTGGCTCACGCCTGTAATCCCAGCACTTTGGGAGGCCAAGGTGGGGCAGATCGCCTGAAGTCACGAGTTTGAGACCAGCCCGACTAACATGGAGAAATCCCATTTCTACTAAAAATACAAAAAATTAACTGGGCATGGTGGCACATGTCTGTAATCCCAGCTACTTGGGAGGCTGAGGTAGGAAAATTGCTTGAACCTGGGAGGCGGTGGTGGTCGTGAGCCAAGATCATGCCACTGCACTCCTGCCTGGGCAACAAGAGTGAAACTCCCTCTTAAAAAAAGAACCCCCATAGACATCCCATCTCTTGATGTAGGGCCATGGACCAAGGCTGCCCTGCAAGGGCCATCAAGGATATATTCTTTGGCAAGTCCTATCATTTCTGCCTCCAGAATAGACTTGAATCTGTCCTCTCTCCAGCTGTGTGTCCACGGCCCTACATCAAGCCACCATTGTCGCTTGTCTGGACAACTATGAGAGCCCCATATCCTCCCCTGTCCTTGTCCACTTTATTCCCTGAAGGCCAAGCAGTGTGGCAGGCTGGTGATGTGAACAGGACCCTGTCCCTGCCAGATCACGAGGATAAAATCTGAAGTCTGACAAGGTCCTCGTGATCTGGCACCTGCTCAGCTCACCCCCAACGGCCTGGCTACTGCCTTGGCTGCGCTCTCTGTCTAGAATGCTCTTCCATTTGCCCTTTACCTGTGTGACCCCTACTTATCCCACAGATCTAGATGCAGGTGTCCCAGATGTTAGGCAAATACTTGTCAATAACCCATTCCCATTCCAGAGCCTGGTTTGCAGGTTCTTTGAGATGTTGCCTCAAGTACATGAAAAAACAAGTGAAGAAATGTCCAAATGTCCCCCTACTATTTTTTTTTTTTTTTGAGATGGAGTTTCGCTCTTGTTACCCAGGCTGGAGTGCAATGGCACAATCTCGGCTCACCGCAACCTCCGCCTCCTGGGTTCAGGCAATTCTCCTTCCTCAGCCTCCTGAGTAGCTGGGATGACAGGCACGTGCCACCATGCCCAGCTACTTTTTTGTATTTTTAGTAGAGACAGAGTTTCACCATGTTGACCAGGATGGTCTCAATCTCTTGACCTCGTGATCCACCTGCCTTGGCCTCCCAAAGTGCTGGGATTACAGGCTTGAGCCACCGCGCCCGGCCTGTCCACCCTACTATTACAGAGAGAACAGTCGAGGTGATTCTAGCCTGGGCATTTTAAAAATCAAATTTTGCTTACCCTAGCTTTAGAAAAATCTCAGTAACACCAAATGAAATTCTAGTTTAGGTCATGCAGCTTCCTTTGACTATGCCAGGAGCAATTTAATATAAAAATTACTGTATGTTGGCCAGGCACAGTGGCTCAGGCCTGTATTCCCAGCACTTTGGGAGGCTGAGGCAGGAGGATCGCTTGAGGCCAGAAGTTTAAGACCAGCTTGGGCAATATCGAGCAAGACTCCAACTCTACAAAAAATAAAAAGTGTGTAGCTAAGACTATACGTGTGGTGTCACATACCTATAGTCTTAGCTATGTGGGAGGCTGAGGCAGGAGGATAGATTAAGCCCCGGAGTTTGAGGTTACAGTGAGCTGTGACCAGTGCCACCACACTCCAGCCTGGGTGACAGAGTAAGAATGTATCTCAAAAAAAAAAAAAAAAAAAATTGGCCAGGTACGGAGGCTTACGCCTGTAATCCCAGCACTTCGGGAGGCCAAGGCAGGCAGATCACTAGGTCAGGAGATCAAGACCAACCTGGCCAACATGGTGAAATCCTGTCTGTGCTAAAAATGGAACAATTAGCCATGGGTGGTGGCGCCTGCCTGTAGTCCCAGCTACTCAGGATGCTGAGGCAGGATAATGCTTGAACCCGGGAGGCAGAGACTGTGGTGAGTCAAGATAGCACCGCTCTACTCCAGCCTAGGGGACAGAAGGAGACTCTGTCTCAAAAAAAAAAAAATTATTGTTACTGGATATGAACAATTCAGTGTTGAAGACTATTTGCTGAAAATGATTTTAATTTCTGGAGTGGCTGCTAATGAGCAATTGTTTCTCATGATGATCTTCTGATTGGGCCTGATTCAGCCGGTCCTATTAGGAGTCCATTCCTCCCCAGGGGCGAGAGTGAGCTTGCGCAAGGTGAGAAATGAATTGGTTCCAGATGTGGGACGCTCTCTTGAGGTCAAGAAATGTTGCAAAGTAGTCTCATAGTTTGTATGGCTTTTATGGTTTATTTTAAAATTGTGTGTGTGTGTGTGTGTGTGTGTGTGTGTGTATACACACATACGCAATTTGGAACTATCTCAAATTTACAGAAGTGCTACTGTGAGACAAATAACCTTCTTCTCTGAACCATTTGAAAGTTGTTGATATCGATTCCAAATGCTTTGATGTGTATTTCCTCCAAACAAGTATCTTTTCCTGCATAACCACAATTGTAACATCTAAATCAGAACATTAGTATTGATACGTGACAGTGACGACCATTTAATCCTCAGACCTCATTCAAGTTTTGCAATCCCCCCTGACGATGTCCTGTAACGTTGGAGGATTTCTTTGAGTCACGTATAGCATTGAGTTGTCACATGGCTAAAGGCTTGACTGTGTCCTCAGCTGTCCTTCGACCTTCATGACTCCAAGTCAACAAAGTTCTATCTTTGGAAGGACTAACGAGACTCCACAAAATACACTTAGATAAGGCCCTCATAAGACAAAGCATGAAATACAGCAGGAGGAAGAAAATACAGGGAAGCATTGGGAGGCCTGGGGCACCCAGGGGCGCCTCCCAGGGTCCTCATTTAGGCCCAGGATGCATTTTGTTTCTGTATCACAAGCCATCAAGATGAACATGAAGTATCTCAATCTCAGGAAAGCCAAGGCACATGTTAGCTGAGGGCATTTTTTCTATCCCATTGGACACAGCCCAAACCAGGCTGTATCACCAGGTAAAACACGTGCAGATCATAAATCCATACATTTTCAGTAAACAATGTAGACTAGTTGATAAAGGGGACCTCCAGGGGAGAGTTGGGCTTTAACGGCACATAAATTGCTAGCCAGCACCGTTCATGCTTGTCTTAGCCAGCACTCAGTGTCATGGCTCCAGGCATCTTTGGAGATGAGCACGAAGCTAACACAGACCAACAGTGATCTCGACAGCTTTGAAGATTGCAGAGTAGTTCTTGATACGTTTCCCCTTGGTTTGGGTTTGCTGATTATATCAGTTGCAGCTTATGGCTCTCTGGCAGGAGCATCCCAGAAACGATGCTGTGTCCTTCTCATTTCATCCTAGCAGACGATACACAATTTGGATTTTTTTTTTTAATGGAGTCTTGCTCTTGTCACCCAGGCTGGAGTGCAGTGGCGCGATCTCAGCTCACTGCAACCTCCATCTTCCGGGTTCAAGCAATTCTCGTGCCTTAGACTCTCATGTAGCTGGGACTACAACCACCTGTCACCACGCCTGGCTAATTTTTGTATTTTTAGTAGAGGCAGGGTTTCACCACATTGGCCAGGCTGGTCTCGAGCTCCTGACATCAGGTGATCTGCCTGCCTTAACCTCCCAAAGTGCTGGGATTACAGGCATGAGCCACTGTACCCAGCCCACAATTTGGATTTGTTCCATAATTGGGGATGCCTCCTTTATTCCCTGGATTCAGATGGTATCTGCCAGACTTATCCACAGTAAAGTTAATCTTTCCCTCTTTGTAATTATTAAGTATTTTGTGGGAGTGTTCTTTCTTTTGTTTCTTCTTTTTGGGATAGGGTCTTGCTCTGTCCCCCAGGCTGCAGTATAGTAGCATGATCACAGCCCACTGCAGCCTTGAACTCCTGAGTTCAGGAGATCCTCCCACTTCAGCCTCCTCAGTAGCTGGGACTGCCAGCTCCTCCCATTGCACCTGACTAATTCTTTTAGTTTTTTGTAGAGATGGGGGTCTTGGTTTATTTCCCAGGATGATCTTGAACTCCTGGCCTCAAGGAA